CTTGTGTGCCACTGACAACAGTGCCAATATAGTGGGAAAATGATTGATATTAAGTCTTATATTATTGCAATGAATGCAATGTTTAACAGCACCTCTGGACTCAGGTAATTATTAACTTTTTTTTTAAAATTCCCAATTTTGAACAAAATATAATTTTTTTCCCTAATTGCCTGCCATTTAGTTTATAGATAATTCCCTGTAAAGTTGCACACCGTATCATTAGTGTAGTATCAACCTGTTGATGCAAACATATATATATTTGAAACTTGTTCTGTGTAATATAAGGAAAAGAAAACTGGAAATTAAGTTATTATTTATTATCCTATTGAGCTATTTATTGTTAAAGGCCTCGAGTAAAACCATTCTAACTGATTGGACTCATTCTACATGTTCTACATCTATCTTTATAATATTGAATAATCAATATGATATTTTCAATGCTAGCCATAAGACAACTGAAACCAATAGTGGGATTGAATGGTAAACAGCGGACATTGTTTTTCTTTTCTAATTTCAACATCCTTTCCTGAGTCTTTGGTGATAACTGTATATGACTTCCATTTTCTGTGGGAGTAAGAAAGCTATTAGGCACTGTGACTCACTGTTGAACCATCTGTTGATCAATATGCTTGCATAGAGAGATTCAGGCCTTGCTCTAGTACGTATTATACAACTACCACTGCCTCTCGGCTTATGCAACTCAACTTGTGGTGGTTTCATCAGGACAGTATTCAATGTTATAAGCGTCCGCTCTAATAAGCTCCCACGGCGATATTTGCTAATATATTGGTTAGTGAACAGTCCCAATTAGCACCCCTTCTGATTGATCAATGTACCCAAGATTTATTTTTTCGTGTATAATACTCACTCATGTGTTATATGCACCCTTAATTATGGGCATTTATAGTCTTGAAAATATATCTGTTGTGTATGATACGCACATACTTTTCTTCTATATCATTTCAGGCTGTCAGCATAAACTACTAAATTTACAATCTTTCAACTCTGTGTTTTTTTCTCACCAAAATTATATTCTAATAACTTAGTAATAAGAGCCCCCTATTTCTAATTTTGAGAGCGCCCCAGGCGGTTATTATGTCGAATACGGTACTTCCCTATTAAAGGATCCTAACCTCATGCTGGATTCATTAGATCACATTCATGCTGGAATAGTATTCATTAGTCAAGGCTAATGGCCTTGTTTTGTAATGACATCTTACAACATAACTGGATTATTATTTTTTAACAAATTGATTTCAGCAAACCTGTGTTAGACTGTAAGAGATCTGTATTAAGAAATTACATTTTCATTGCTAGAAAGTCTTTCCTTTCTTGGTGTGCATTATCCTCTACAGTTCATCACTAATGAATGGTGTGCCAGAGATTGTATTTTAATGTGTGGTAGGAACTTTACTTTTTGCAACACATATGTTTCATCAGGTAGTGGTTTGAGTCAAATTGTGTCAGGTGGTTTTCAATGTAACATTCAGATACCACAGTTCTGAAAAGCCACTTTTTTTTATCAATCTAGCCCATTCTGATAACGTGTTCACAATTCATGTCATGGGTCATTGAAGTTTAAGGCTAAAGTGTATGAATTTAGGAATTCTCTGTGCTCAATATTATTATGGCTGGGATCCCTTGGATTTCATGCATTATTTTAAACTCTGAAAATCATCATTTTCCCATCACAGAGGAGGCCGATGGTAATTTGTATCACAGAGTTGTGTCCATGTCCATGTAACTACTAACCACTGCTCACGGGTTGGAGTCCCGGGTTGGAGTCCCAGATTGGCCCATATTGTGATCCATGGAATGTAATCACCACACTCATGTCTCACCAAAGTGATAAGCATCTGCATCACTAGGCCATTCCTCCTACATGTCGATCCGGGAAGATTCTGGGGTAGAATAGGTCTTCAGCAACCCATGCTTGCCGTAAAAAGTGACTATGCTTGCCGTAAAAGGTGACTATGCTTGTCGTAAAAGGCAACTAACGGGATCGGGTGGTCAGGCTCGCTGACTTGGTTGATGCATGTCATCGATCCCAATTGCGTGGACCGATGCTCATGATATTAATCACTGGATTGTCTGGTCCAGACTCGATTATTTACAGACCGCCGTCATATAGCTGGAATATTGCTGAGTGCGGCGTTAAACAACAAACAAATTAAAACTGCTGGACTCCTCCCTTTCAAAAACTTGCCAACTCACTCAGCCTCCATGGTGCAGTGGATAGAGCCTGTGTCCAGAGAGCAGGTCAATGGTTCGATCACTTTCCGTGTCAACCAGAAAAAAGTTGACATATGGTACTTGTCCTGAAGCCTGATTCTCGGCATTAAGGGGATTAAGCAAGAACTCAGTGTGATCTATCTGAGTAGGGTATCTACGTTTAACTGTGGCATGGTATTTCAGTTGGCTAAAACCATAAACCAGCATAAGCCCTAAGTACAAGCAGCCACACAGACATGCGCATGCACGACGCTAGATGGGTGAAACAATCTTGAACACACCGTTAAACCCCATTTCACCTCAGCTCACCTCACTCACTTACAATGGCTATCATGTGTACAGAGGTGTACCTTTCAGCTCAATTAGCCCTGTCCATCACCATTGTTTGTTGATTGAAGGACATGTGTCTTCACAGGCTGATGTTATATTGTGTGACAGATGACACAGGTGGCGTTGATTGCTGTGGCCTCTCACAAGAGGTGATTGACCTGCGTTTAGATGGCTTTATAATTAGGTATCATAGCCAGGAAACGGGTCTTTTTCGTTTCAGTTTGGCTGATCGGAAGAAAATAATGGACAACTTTTTTTTCAGCCTACTTTGAGTGCAATTCGGGGATATTCTGTGATCATTGACAATCAATAATGTTTGTGGTAGGCCTTGGGGGAGAGAGGTGGATCAGTGAAGGAGTCTACAAGATTAAACAGGAAAAATCTGCCGACTCTGGCTTATACAACCAGCTAATGTTATTACATTCTTGTTGGCAGATTTGGGACAATATCTGGGGTTAGGCTTCTACCACAAATCTGGCCTTTATACATCTTATTGAGAATTGCAGGCCTACTTCATTACGCAATACTAGATCTGAAAGCTAGCAATTGAAGCATTTATGTAAACATAATAAGCTATTTGTGCCTTAAGGTCGAATTGTTATGTCCAAATTCTCAAAACAATAAATTTGTTTGGGTGTAGGCTCACATGGGGCCTTTTTACATCTATTTTTTTTATCTTGTCTGAGAGGTTTTGCTAGGGGCTTTAAGAAATAAATTGTGGTTGCTCAGACCCAGTATTCCATCCCTGTATTACTCAAGAATTGTATATATTAAGTTAGATATGCATTGATAACAGATGTCATCTGAAAGTGCCTGAAGTGTTTTCTACAACATTCTAATATTATCCGTATCAGTTTGTTACTGGTGAGGTGTTGTATGCGTTAAATCATCCAGTATAGAAGAAGAGTAAAAGATGGAAACTTATTCGGAAGGTTATAATCCTTATGAGATGGAAATTTGTTGATTCAGTCTAATTTAGAATGGTTGTGTGGCTGAGAAAAGTATTTAGTATGTGCCTCACTATCCAAGTCAGGGCTGTTGGGTAGCCTAGTGGTTACTGCATTTGCTCATCCTCGGTTCAGTTCTCTCAACATGGGTACCATGTGCGAAACTCATTTCTGGTGTGCCCTGCCGTGATAATGCTAAAATATTGCCACATGCAGAGTAAAAACAATATTCACACTGACCTATACGGGTCATACCACCAAGTAATAAAGTAATTCCTATGGATAAAAATTACTTTTTCTTATATTTTCAATATTATCTAGGATTTTATACAAAATGACCTTGGCTGGCGAATTGTGAAGAAATTGTTATTTTGTTAAAATCTGGGATTTTTTAAAGTTTTAATATCTTAAATTCAGAAATATTTTAACATTGCACTCAATGCAGTAATATAAAACGAAACATGAGAACCTATTCCTCTTTATTGATAATGATCAGCGAAATACAAATAATCTTTAGTTATTATTAACTTTACATGAATTGGATAATTTTTAATTTCCATTTGGGAACATTTACTGACATTTTCTAAAGACTTGGGGCTGTACATCAGCTTCAGAGTAGGTCTAGATTCATCCCAGAGTACTCAAGTTCACATCTATAGCATGATATATTGTACATTCATTTCCCATCTGTTTTGATCAACAGAGTGATTAAATGATAATGTTTGTTCAGTTAATGTTTCTTCACCATTGAAGATAAATTTATTCATAACTGATTGGTTATTCAAACTGGTAAGCATATTAGTTAATTTGACTTTGATCACTAATGCTAATTATTATCATGACTTTGAACTGATTGGTTAAATAAACTTCACTTGTGTTATAAGCACTTAATTTTGTAGATAGGTAATATTGACATTTATCTGTTAGTTAGACATGTAATACCTGTTTCCTGATTAAGTCATACCATGTGAAGCTGTAGTTATGTGCACTGACTTAACTCATTACACAGTTTTACCACATTTATGCGTTTGTTGTGTGGCTTATTTCTTTGTATGAAATCTCTTTGGAGAGTTAAACATCTGAGAAGTATTAGTTGAGTCATATCCTCTCACGAACCTATCCCCTTCACAATGTGAAAACCATGACTTTTGTGGTTCCCCTCCTAAACAAAGAAACCAAGCAGACCTCCACATTGAGCAGCATGTGATGAAACGGAGGGGACAATGCAAGGGGCGATGTAACTGTTGTTACATATGGTGCACATCGCTACCACAAACCAGCTGATAACTCTAGCACGATTCCGAGTCCATTCCAACCCCAGCCGGCCTCACAATAGGACAGGCATGTGCTGGGCTGAGGCCCATTTCAGTATGTTTAGTAACTGACAATGCTTGTTGATATCCTAGTGTGTTGGTGACCCGGTTTTGGTCAGGCCACATGTGAACGTAGATTTCATAGGTCCCACGTCAGTGCACGTGGTATGATCAGGTGACACGCGCTTCAGCTAATCTGAATCAAGGGCCGTGAATAGACAGGTAAACAGGCTATTCTTACCACAGCGACCCGTCTGTCACACTTGACTGGCATCAGCTGCTATATGCGAGCCTATGAACCAGGCTCACGCTGTAAGGTACACACGGTGTGACGAAACAGGGACGGAAATGTGACAGAGTATGGGATAGTTTCCTGGTTTCTAATTTAACATTCAAGGAATTGACAGTGCAGCAGGAGGTCCTGTACATATCTCCCAGAGGGACGTTGATTTCACACTGCAGACAGACATTACCACACAGCTGGTTTTGGAGCAGCTTGGCACTATTGCCTGTTTCATCACTTGAGATAATTAGGAAGGCTATTGATAGTATAGCGGTGACTATCTTTAAAACTGGAGCGAATATTCCCATTCAAGATTTTCAAATCATCTCCTAAAATGACAACTGGAATACTGTTTGTTTTCAACTTGTGGTGAGTGTTTTGGTTTTTTTGGTTTATGTAATTATATGGAACTTCATTGTTGATGTTCTGAGAAGAAGAGATGTATGGAAATATTCGAAATATTAAGAAAACATGTTGAATAAAATCATGAAGTATTTGTGACATGTGATACAGACATAATCAATCAGCTATATATCCTCCAACACATATATAAGTAAGATGAAGTGGTGACATTGAATAGCATTTGATGTTTTTACTTCTCATTAACTGTCAAAATATGTCAGTGTGATTAATTGAAAGGATATGAATAATTCATTTAGCATCCATTTTTAGCAAGAAACTGAAGAGATATAAGAAAAGTAAAAGCTTGTCACTGATGTTATGGTTATTTTGGGTTTTATTTCTACCATTTACTTCAATTTCTGTTTTTGTTTGTTCCTAATTGAATATTGTGGAATTTGTGTATTCCAATATGAGTTAGTAAGATGTGAAAACGTCTTGCTTAACTCCATAGATTTGAGTCATTTGTTGGAAGGAGGAACATCTTACATCATTATGAGGTATACAGTAAACTGCGGTTATAACAAACACGCTTATAACGAACTGACGGATATAACAAACTTACTTTTTGGTCCCGACTACTTGCTGTAGTCATGCTGTATATGTACTTATAACGAACTACGGTTATAACGAACTAAAATTAGTAGTCCCTTTAAGTTCGTTATAACCGTAGTTTACTGTATTTTGAAATTGAGATGATTGACACCGAAGAATGAGTTGTTTTTTTGTCCACGTGTTGAGATGTGTTACTGTGTGATACATTATAAAATCAATAGTAATTCGCCATATGATACTCAATATTTGCATGTTGTCACTGGCAACAGACAAATGTTGAATGTTGAATCTGCCATGGGGTTGTGTTTTCTCTTTGTCAGTGTTTCTTTGAAAATCAATCATGTGTCTACATTGTCTACAAGTACAACGGCTGCAAGACTCCGTCTGTGTGGGATACAACAAACAGTTGTTCACCTGCTAGTATTTGGCCTACTTTAAACAGCTTACTGAGATTCAGACCTATTTTGTTGTAAAAGTTCCTCAGTGAGTGAATGTTGTTTAACGCCACTGCCAGCTCACGGTAGTTGAGTTGTATCAGAGTGGCCTGTAATAATCTGGGCTAGGCAACTCACTGGCTCTAGTTGTCATCCATGTGGCCAGGGTATGATGACACACAATCAAGCAGGTGACACATCTTCATTTTAGTCAATAAGCCTGTTTGGAACTGCTTGACAGCATCCAACAAGCTCTTTTTAGGACATTTTGTCATATGCCATGTCTAATGTTCAGTCAATCATGTACTCATGTTATAAACATAATAAATTCCAAGGGTTTTTGATAGACAACTGATTATGCGAAACAGCTAAATTTTCCTTTGTTTTTTTCTTATAAAAAAGCTGTCAGTGTTATTTTTCTATGAATGAAAAATGTTTCATGATACACATCCCATTGTCATTGTATTATTTACCATAGTTGAAGTGTTTCAGCTTTAAGTTTGGTCCAAACTTTGGTCTAGTTTGAGGTAGAGGTAATTTTCCTTATGAGTAGGTTAAAGATATGCAGCAGTGGTACAGGTTTTATGAGGATATCAAAGTTCTGTTATGTAATTATGAAATCACTGATAGACTGATTAATTTCTACCTTAGACAACCATTAATTTGTTGTCACTGCAATGTTTGAAATTAAAGGGGGGTTGTTTGGTTCTTTAGGTCTTTTCCTGGTAGGGATTTTGGGTTAGAATAGGTCCCCAAAGAGGTGACGAAATGGATTGACTGGTCAGGCTAGGTGCCCTGACTACATAAATTGATTTTCACAATATCCATCACTAGATTGTCTGGTCCAAACCCTATTTTTTTTAAAGGCTGCCGTTATATAGATGGAATATTGCTGAGTGTGGCATTAAACACCCATGTACATAATCACCTACACCTTTTCATAAGCTACCAGTATTCTATGTACGAGTAATTGTGAGTTTCAATAACAAAACTGGTTTGCAGATGCTGTTCCTATGCAACAAGAAGGTTTTTTTGTCACCTTTTATATCAAGATGTCACTTGACCTTTCACAAGCAATTTTATGTTAAACTAAGTTTTTCTCAACATTCACTTGAAAATGTATTTTATGAAAACGGGCAGCAAAGCTAAATAGAAATTTTCTTTTTTATATATTATAAATAAGACAACAGTTAAAATTACTATTTGTTGCTTTGATAGGCTTTTCTTCATGTTAACACACAGAGATGTGAGTTTGAAGGAGACTTAATGACGATGCTGGTAAGTGGGAAAAGGTCACTGGATGCTCTGTAACCCACAAGTATTTCTTTCAAGTCCTGTAGGTTTGTGTGCAGTCAGTCCAAGCTCAGGTCTTGAGAGATGGGGTGTGTGAGAACGTTGTAATCACATCCAGCTGGTGAGAGGTTATCTATGCAATTAGCTACATCCTTCCTCAAGCCTATCACATCAGGAACAGGACTTTCTCCATCCGTAGCCTGAATAGTCAGGCCTACATACTGACAGTAGTAGCCAGGGTTGGAAATAAGGGCAAGTGAGCCGGTCAAGAGAGAAGAGAGTAAACAGTACAAGAAAATGTTCAAGTTTTCTTTTGCAGTGTTCAGAGGGTGGTCCTGGGGTCCTTGAGCAGTGTTTGAAATATTTTAGAACCCAACAAGACAGTTGGGCAGGTGACCCATTAATGTTGCCATACCATCTTCAAAGTTACCTGCCGCATTCAGACATTATAAATTTTGAAAATTCATCAAGATCTTGAGAGGTATGTGGTGTGATGTACCGTGGGTGTGAGCCTATGTACACACAGGATACATCACTCCATATACCTTTTGAGATCGGTTGACAACTTATAGTATCTAAATTGGTGGGAATCATGGTACAAATGTAACCTGGTCATCCTGTCTACATGATATTCGGGCGGTCTGGTAGCCTAGTGGTTAAAGCGTTCGCTCGCCCGGGTTCGATTCACGACATGGGTACAATGTGTTAAGCCCATTTGTGGTGTCCCCCGCCGTGATATTGCTGGAATATTGCTAAAAGTGGCGTAAAACGTACTCACTCACTCACTACATGATATTCTTTTTATTGTTCATCCTTTGTCTGTGCAGCAAAAATACTTGAAAAAATGTTGAAATCAACATTTAGAGCCCAAAAATATGATTGGCAATATTAAAATTTGAGGGAGCTAGCATGTTTGAAATGGAGGATGCTGGAACAGTTGTGGTATATTGCTGTAGTATTTGAATCTTAGGACCCCCTAGGTATTTACTTTTTAACATGAGAGTTTGTTTGTTTGTTGTTTAACGCCGCACTCAGCAATATTCCAGCTATATGATGGCGGTCAGTAAATAATCAAGTCTGGACCAGACAATCCAGTGATTGACATCATGAGCATCGATCCGCGCAATTGGGATCAATGACATCCATCAACCAAGTCAGTGAGCCTGACCACCCGATCCCGTTAGTCGCCTTTTACGGCAAGTATGGGTTGCTGAAGACCTATTCTACTCCAGAATCTTCATGGGTCTAACATGAGAGTAATGCCATGAAACCTTTCCATGCTCAAATTCAAACACTGACTGGCCTATATCCTATGCCTTTTTTCAAGGTGACAGGTACATGTACACTGGGATTGTTTATAGCTGGTAAACTATAGTTAGCATGACAAGTTGTCAGTACTGTCTGGATGGGTGGATCCTACACTGGTCATAAGTATATTTTATGACCATGCTGTGTTTTATATGGAATACAGGGGTCGACACCTTTGGTCATAGTCAACTAGTCCATCACTCATTTTGGAATAGAGGTTTATATAAAGCATTTAGATTTCGGCGAGAAAACAATAAGCCCCTTTAGATTTTCACTTGTCTCGGACTAATGGACCAGTGACCGTTTCTTACCTTGGAATACAGTTGTGGAAATTTATTCAGTAAACTTAAGTTATCTTAACTATTATATTTAAGAATAAGTAACCGTGTTCTCAAATACCAAATACTGCTTTCCCACCAATATTAACATAATTCTTTAATGCAGTTTCTTTGTTAAGTAACACTAACTTAGAGGGGCCTGAATATTTAGGATATCAGGCGACCAGACACAGGATACTGATTTCCCGCTAAGTACTAGCTACAATATATACAGCAGGTTTTCTATTAAGTTTTGGAGATAACAGTGAAACAGGCTTCATCTAATTGCTATGTTCCTCTTCCAACAAACAGGCAATCAGATCCTGTGTGCATGGCATTTTCTTCAGTATAAGTTTTATCTTGCTTAGGCACCTGGAAATCTGTGGAATTTCCACTTGAGTTTGCAGGAATTTTACAACCATTCATTAACATCAACCAAGGTGGATCACTAGATTGAGTTGGTTTCATCATTAACTCGTAAGATTTTATCATCATACCTCTTGTAGAGGTGTAGTGATATAGGGGGTGAGCCACAAGATACATGTCGGATACGAGTGCTGCAATATGGTACTTACATGATACACATTGTTTCATGATAACCTTTCTCGTTTCTGTCTTTGTAATACTGGTGACCTGCCGTAAAAGGTGACTATGCTTGTCGTAAAAGGCGACTAACGGGATCGGGTGGTCTTGCTCGCTGACTTGGTTGATGCATGTCATCGATCCCAATGGCGTGGATCGATGCTCATGATATCAATCACTGGATTGTCTGGTCCAGACTCGATTATTTACAGACCGCCGTCATATAGCTGGAATATTGCTGAGTGCAGCGTTAAACAATAAACCAACCAACCAACCAACCAACCAACCAACTGGTGACCTCACTCCTGGCTTGCATTAAATTGCGTGATTATTGATTATGCATGTTCAAGTTATGAGCAAATTTTATATATTTCCTCTGTTCAAGAGTGGTTCATGAAGGACAAATTTGTTTTAGTAGCATTTGAACTTTTTAGTCTTTTATATGTCTTTATTTTTCTGTGGATTATCAACATGTAAACTG